GAATGACAGCAAAGGTAACAGCGGGAATTCATACAGATAAAACAAGAAAGTAAAAGCACTAGGCTAATATGCTGAAATCAACACTGGCCAAGCGTGTGTGTCTGGAATTCACTGGATGAAAATGGAAATTTTTGAAAAATAGCGTAAACTACTTAAATATTGGAAATCAGTAGTATATATATCAACTCATAGTATTTGTTGGTTTGTTAGCTGATAATAATAAATTATTCATTTTTTCTTAAAAAAAACTGATAATTTAAGAAAATAATTTAAATAAAATAATTTAAATTAAGCTAACAGATAAACATTACACTGATCATTTCCTGTGAATCTGAATAGCGCTCAAGTCAAATCAGTAATATGATGATCGATGACAATATAGAGAATGTGATAAGAGAGGTAATTTAAACTTTCGAAAAAAAGGTATGTATAACTATAAATGACCGATATGCATTCGACTATTGCCTTCACACACACATCCAACACATGAGAAGTCACCTAGATAAAATGACGGGAAAAAAGTAACAATGAAATTGTTTTCATGATTTCATTACAAAAAGAGAAATTGATTAGTAAAGGAGTGAATACAGTGTATTGAACTCACCTGAAACTTTTCAACAATAGTATGAACTGAACACTATATCATCTGTTGGATAGTAACTAGCTGTGGAATCCAGGATAACGCGCATTCCACCATCCTATTTGAGACTCGTCAGCTAGATTGACCCGCATTCACCAGTGAGTCAGTGAGGCTCGAACTAAGTATCCATCGTTTTCAACTACAAAGCGTTACCCATTAGACCGCTTGATCGAAGAGAGGAAAAATCTTGTGCAACGGGTATAAGTTATTAGGGATGCGTAGTGGATTCCAGCTTCAGTGGGCGGGGACACCATCAATCACTGGGGAATGCAGATACATCCAGATGACGAATAATTCCATATTAGTTTGTTTACTAGATATATCACACAGTGAAAGACACACAGTGAAGGTCCTGGGTTCGAATCCCGGTGAGTGCGTACTGAGGAACAGTCCTAAAACGGGACGAAACTCCCAGCTGCTTTGCCAATGGTTCTCTAATCAATGTCAGCTCAAAATGAAATATCTATTAATGTTATTTCTTTACATTTCGAGAGGAACATAGGGCTTTAGGCTAGAGCATTCCGTCTGTCTGTCTGTCTGTTTACGACATAGAACTTCGCACCGATATGCAGCAGTTCGAGTCGCCACACTCCCTCCTTCAAGCACACAATGTAAGAGAAGAAAGTAGAAGAAATGCATAATAGAGACAGTAAACAGAGGTGTGAGACAAAGGAATACTAATAACGAAGAACAAAATAGTTTCATTGGAAATCATAAGTCACAAGGAGTGGATGCATCTGCGCCAACCATTGAGAACGATTGTTTCCAGCCTTCATTGGTTTCTACCGTCCCGAGGACCCCAACCAGGAAGTCTACACCTTCCTACCTGGCCGGCTTAAACTAACTGTTGTGGATTTCATTGACTGGTGCCATGTATTGGTTTGACCGCCGCTAGATCTTTCCCAGTCTGACCCTATATCAGCTAAAATTGCCCATCTAGGAAGGCGATGACTAAGCATACGTCCTAACCATCTCAGTCGATGTAATTTCACAGTCTAAGATAGAGCGTTGATGTTTCAGCAGCAGAGGTGTTTATTTTTTTACGTGGTTGGGTTGTTAACTTCACGCCAAACCTTCCCTTTTTACCAGTGTTTTTACTGGCTCAGTGAGGTAAAGGATTGTGTCGGCTGGGGACCGAACCCCGGATCACATGAGGTGCGATTGGAGAGTATTCAACCGGTGAACGAGCAGCGCACATGAACTAGTAAATAACACAGTGAAAATTTAAGATAAACATTTGGAACTACTTACAAGGTATTAAAGTAGACTTAACACGTTGATTCAATTAACATATGATACCAGACAACAGTTCAGGATAGAAAATTCATTCCGCATGATTCAACTTAATTTCGTGTGGGATGAAATCTGATCAGAACCCAATATCTTAATTACTTAGTGTCGTATCAGTCAAGGGAAAGCTTTTCCTGATAACACACACTATAGGTCTAAACAACATAAATTATATATATGAAGAAAAATCACAAGAAAACATAACATTTTTCTTCCATCTCTTTCAATCAATAAACAGCATGTGGTTAAAAACATTGCGAATACTTATCAATGCAATGATGGGTGCCGAAACAAGATCAATAACTCCTATATATATAAACACTTAAGACTAGGATCTTCTAATGTTTGGCATGCGATTCTCTCCTGCTGTCAAATGTAAGATGATGCTAGAGGACTGAACTGGACTACATCGACTCACTCCTAGCTTAAAATTGGCGAGGGAGGTAAGTAGTTCGTGGAGCGTGTTAACCACTTCACTTATCTGGAAAGTTGCATCATCCCCATCAACAGGTTGATCGCTGATGAAATCTCAGCACGGATACAGAAGGCTCGTTTAGCACTTCCCAACAACTTACGCCATCTCTGACTTACTTAGTAGACGTGATATCCGGCTGGCTATCGACTAAAGGACGCGTGTGCTGCTCAGAAGTCAATTTGCTTCGTCCTCCTGTATGGTTGGCTGTGAGTGAAACACGAGCCCCATTGAAAGTGGAAGACATAAAAAGCCTGGTTAGCTAGCTGTCTTTGATCATAGGTGCCTAAGTTCTATCTCCCGTTTGTGTTAGGTGGAATAATAGGCTGGGTGAGTATTATTGAGGTTATGCTTCGGCCGAGTGTTAGGTAAGGAGGGAAAATTAATCAACAAGGTTGTCAAGTTACATGGATTGAGAGAGATGGCTAGAACATGTGTTACGCATACCTATTCTAGCCTAGACGTCGATCTTCTTCCTCGACAACGGGCAATGTTAGATGACTAACATAGGATGGATCAGTTTGGAGAAGAGCTAGCACGTGGTGGTTTAACGAAAACATGGTTTCATCAGTCAATCAAATCCATAACAGTTAGTCTAAGCCAACCAGCCAGCCAGCCATGTAGGGAGGGAGGTGTAGACTGACTGGTTGGTTGGGGTCCTCAGGATGGTAAGAACCAATGACGGCGGTTGGAGGCAGTTGGTGATATGGCTCAAAATCCTCGTTGTCAATGACAGCGCAGATGCATTCACTCTTTGTCATTTGTCATATACAATAGGACTCTATTGTTCTTCCATATTACTATTCTTTTCTCCTCACCCACACTTCTGTTTATAATCTCCCTTTTGAATTCTTCTTAACTCTCTCCTCTTACTTTGTGTACTACATGGAGGGAGAGTTGCAACTCGATCTACAACACTCCGGTGCAGAGTTCTACTTTGAAACCAGTCAGTCATTCAATTACGCCGTCTCTGGCGTGGATGTGATATCCGACTATCGACCAAAGGGTGGGTGTACTGCTCAACAGTCCGCTCCGTCCTCCTTTATGGCTGTGAGACCTGGCCATGATGAGTGGAAGACATGAAAAGATTAGCTGTCTTTGATCACAAGTGCCTGCGGTCTATCTCCCGTGTGAAGTCGTATAATAAGGTGAGCAATACTGAGGTTAGGCGTCGGTCGACTGCTGGGTAGATGGGGGTATGGAAATCAATCGACGAGGCTGTGAAATTACATCGACTGAGATGGTTAGGACATGTGCTACGTATGCCTAGTCATCGCCTTTCTCGACAATGGGCAATATTAGCTGACATAGGGTCAGGCTGGAAAAGAGCTAGAGGCGGTCAAACCAAAACATGGTTTCATCAGTCAATGAAATCCACAACAGTTAGTTTAAGCCAGTCACGTAGGAAGGTGTAGACTTCCTGGTTGGGGTCCACAGGACGGTAAAAACCAATGAAGGCTGGAAACAATTGGCGATATGGCTCAAAGTCGTTCTCAATGGCTGGCGCAGATGCATCCACTACTTGTGACTTATAATTCCCAATGAAACTGTTTTGTTCTTCGTTATTACTATTCCTTTGTCTCACACCTCTGTTTACTGTCTCTATTATGCATTTCTTCTACTTTCTTCTCTTGCTTTGTGTGCTACAAGGAGTGGAGTGTGGCAACTTGAACTGCTGCACATCGGTGCAAAGTTCTATGTCGAAAACAGACAGACAGTCATTCAGTCAAATCTCAACATAAAGCATACATACATACAGGAAAAACAATTGCTTTTCGCTCTGAAATTTGGTTTTCTTATCAGTATAAAAAAGTCTGATTGAATATTCTCAAACAAAGCATTACTTATAAATCAGTCTGCTGTCTGTCTGGATTCAACATAGAACTTGGCACCGAAGTGCAGCAGTTCAAGTTGCCACGTTCCAAATAGCACACAAAGGTAGACAAGAAGATGAGTGAAGAGAATCAATAGAGTTTTGACAAGTATAAGAGTGAAACAGAATGAGTAATGGTAGAAAGGAATATGAAAGATTACAGAGACTGAATACATCTGCGTAAGCCATTGACAACGATGATTTGAGCCATGTCACCTATTGTCTCCAGCCATGATTGATTCTTAGAGTCCCGAGGGCGGGCCCCAACCCGGAAGTCTGCATCTCCCTACCTTACTCAGTTTAACTGTCAAGGATTTCATGGATTGATGAGGCCATGTTTTTGTTTGGCCACCACTTACTCTTTTCCAACCTGCACCTATATCAGCTAGTAATGCCCGTCGGGGGAGGCGATGGTTAGGCATTCGCAGCACGTGACCTAGCCATCTCAATCTATGTAACTTTATAGCCTCTTCGATTGATTTTCCCTCTTTGCCCAACACTCTACGCCTAACGTCAACATTACTTACCTTATTATACCACCTAACGTGAGAAAGAGATCGTAGACATCTATGATCAAAATCAGTCAACCTTTTCATGTCTTCAACTTATAAATTAGTGCTAATAACTAAACCGCACACACACAAAGCCATAAGTAGTAAACTATACGGTCAACAATCCACTCAAAATCTATAACGAAACAACATTAGAAAGGTGAATTAACTTACCTAGAGAAAAGTGTATCACTGTTTTACAGTCGACTAGTACTGTTAGCACTAGCAACACCCGCACCACCAGCACCACCTCCACGAATTGCATCGAAAGCTACACCGAAGAGTACGTCATCATCGTCATCAGCAGCAGCAGGAACAGCATTAATATTGACAGTAGTAGAATCATTACCGGTAAACGCCATCATTCTTATCATTTCATTAGGATAAACATTTTGTGTAGGTGTGTTGTATGTTGAACAAGAAGAAGAAGAAGGAGAAAATGGTATCGGAGATGAATTTGATGCATGGGAAAGATTAAATTTCCCGCCAATAGTAGTGGATGCATCAACAGACATTGATTGGTTTAATTTATGAGTTACAACATTTGATGATATTGATGTTTCAATTTGCTTGACACTGAAAAATGTTAACAGAAGTATTATTTGAAAGGGTTAGAGATTGTGACAGTCAGACTAAAACACACCATCAGTATTTTTGAAGTTATGGACCTACTAGTTTCAGTCACATAGGCAGATGATAAACAATTTGTTTATTTATAGGGAACCAAGACACTCTAATAAATACTTAGACTTAGGGGCTTCAACAACACGTCTCCATTTTGTTCTATTTTCTGCGGTAATCTTTAGCCAGTCCCACAGTTGCCCATGATCCCTGATCTCCTCTATATCACTCTCGAAGCAAAGCCCCACTTGTCGTTTCCCATTCACGTTCTACTCGAGTGATGGCCTGGCGCACGATGGCATTCAACGGTCTCCTCAGTGGAGTGTGTCTAATCCATCTCCGTTTTCTTCGGGATACTGGTCTGGCAATAGGTTCATGGTTGGTTTGTTCCCAGGGTTCTTTACTGCTGATTCTTTATGGCCATTGGATCCCCAAAATATGGAGAGAAGGCAGCTGTTGATAAAAGTATGCACTGACTTATTGGAAATACTTTTCGTCACGCGTTCACCGAGTTTCTGACCCATATGGAAGAAATGACATAACACTGTTCGATAAAGATAGGTTTAGTTAACTGTCTGTATAATTGGGCAAGAAGACGAACTATTAAGTCAGAAGACTCAAATAATGAAGTCGAACAAATAAAGAAAATATTACTAGTGAATAACTACCCACCAGAAATTATTCAGAAATGTATGAGAAACTATAGAAAAAATAAGATTAGTGATAAAAAAATGACAAAATTAACATAGAGTCCAAAGCCCCTGTAGTAGCGTAACGACAGAAGACAAGGGCTAGGCAACAGATCGTTTATTGAGGAAATCAAGAGACGGTTGGTTGTTTTCTTACTGAAGGTTGCTCTGTACTGCTTGTAACCGTTTCTCAGAAAGTTAAGCCATATATCCGCAAATCCTATTTGCACACGTTAAGTCTACTGTGATTGGCTGGTGAGTTCCTCAAGGTTAGGCTTTGTTATTGTTTTTTTTCTCATGACCCCGATTCGGGACGTAATCATTGACGTAAATTGTTGTTTACAATTTTTGCTTACAGACAGCTCTCACCACAGTAGTACTGTCATATAAAGAAGGAACATACATCAGAGGCCTTACGAAGGATTCTGCATGAGGTTGGCATTTAAACCAACCAACTTTCTCCGAGACTAACTTTGTCAGCTTAAAGACCCGATAAGATCCAATTGGGAAAAGTAATACAATTTACAAATACCATGTAATGACTGTAAAATAAATTACACAGTTCAAACTAGTAGATCGGGGTCAGTTAATTTATCGGAACTTAAAGATTTAGTTAAACTTAGAATGGGCCATTGGATCGGGTCTCAGTAGGTCAATGGTCTACGAGTTCGTCTAGTAACCTGAGGGTCCTGGCTCTGAACCCCTGTGGATGCGTACTGATGAAGAGTCCCAAACCAGCCTGACGAAACAGTTGGCTGTCCAGTACTCCAGTGGTGGTTTTCCAATGGCCCTCTAACCGACGTCAGCTCATGATGAAATTCTGTAACCAATCAACAATGTAAACTTTCTATTTAATGTGTTTATGAAGTTATATTTTCATGTTCCACTTAAGGGCCAACTACCAATGATATTCTAGTCCCCAATAATGAGGCTGAATGACAAAGTGATTATCTCACAACTCGACCACTTCGCATCCGACCAATCACGTAGTAGTGGTTGCTTACAAATGACCACACAAAATGAAGAAAGAAACAGTCAGCCAGTTCATTTTCGTTCTGAATAGACCACCGAGCGACTTCTTTTCATGCTACCACCAGACGTTTCATTACCATGAGCACTGTATCCGGTTGCTTTTAGTCTAGACGGTCGAATCAGTCCAAACTACCCGAATTCCAGCGTTTAAACTACTTCGATTCGGCTAGCAAGCACTACTGATTGATACCAGTGATATACAACATTATTATTGTTATTGTTCCCTTGGGTTCCTTTCCTAGTGGAACATAGGGCTTCAACTACACGTCTCCACTTGCTTCTGTCTTCTGCTGTACTTTTCACCTGCATCCATGTTAGTCCATAGTGTTTCAACTCCTCTTCACACGATCTCCTCCATGTCACCCTTGTACTGACGTCCCACTCGCCGCTTCCCTTTCGGGTTCCACTCGAGTGATGGCCTGACGCGCGATGTCACTCAGTGGCCTCCTCAGTGAGTGTCCAATCCATCTCCACTTTCCCCTGCATATTTGTTGGGCGATTGGTTCTTGTTTCGTTTGTTTGTTCCTATAGTTTCTTGTTGGTGATTCTTTCCGGCCATCTGATCTTCAGTATAGAGCGAAGACAGTTGTTGTTGATAAAGGTCTGCAACAGGCTGTTGGAAATATTCTTTGTGACCCGCCACGTTTCCGTATATATACATATATATATGTATATATATATATATATATGTACAATAAATCACATTAATAACAGGATTTCATCATGAGCTGACATCGATTAGAGAACCACTGGAAAACATGAGAGTAGTTGCCTGAATTCTAGTGGAAAGTCGTGACCAGTGGGGTGCATCAGGTCGCGCGTGAGGACAAATACTCGCCAGTGATGACATTGGCTAGTTAGTGCCAGTCGCACTATATCGTGCGTGAATTGGCAGAAGTTGGAATTCATGGACTGGTCATTCAGTCTGGTCCCATTGGCTTGAATGGTCTACGGAGCTGGCTTGCTTTGTGAAAGGAAGGCCTTGAGTTCGAACTCTGGCAGTGAAGTGGGTGCATAATGGTGAAGATTCCTACTTAAACTAGGCTGATGAAACAGCTCCAGTGGTGGTTATCCATCCAATGGTTCTCTAACCGATGTCAGCTCCTGATGAAATCCTGTGACCAATCAAATCGCTGCAAACCAACACTTGATGTATATTTATCAAACACCTGAACAGGATTCTGTATGGTTGTTTCTGACTAAATGAAAAACCAACTTAAATTGAGAATACAGTGTGTTTGTCTTATTGAACCCAGGATGAAGAATTTTCTAATTGTCAAAACAATTTAACACTAACGGGATTAGCATATATATTAACTAATCAACTACCTGATTAACTAAATAAACCTACCTTGGAAGTATACTGCCAACATCTGTAGGCTTTACTGAAGAATTACTGCATGCAATCGAATCAAATGATTTTGAGGTTTGATTTAATGATGCTAAACTTTGTGCATGACGTATAGTTGATGGAAATGACTTTAGAAGTGATGATGTATCACTTGGACACCGACGATGTCCACCACCAGACAACTAGATAGAATAGAAGAGGAGCGGGGAAGAAAAGAAAATTTTCAGGCAAATAGAAATATAAAAGTTTACAGTGAATTTCATCTTAGCTTTGCAATTTTTCAATTTCTTCGTGGCGGCCTGCTTAAATTCACTGGGATACCAGAATTTCTATCCATTAATGCTTACTTTTTCTATGTTAATCATGCGGTTACATCAAATAATCAATACATAAAATCGCGCGCATATTTAATTACCTTTCAACTAAAACGCTGCGCAACTTTTGAAGGAAATAAAGAAAAAAGCTTACAGAATTGGTTCTTCACTCATGTCCAACAATACTACGTCACATGGTACACTTCAAATTATTAATTTACATGTAAGCCCTGTATTTTATTTACTAACATTTTATGCCTTTACGTTCGCAGTGGAACATACGGTTTCAAGCTAGAGCTTTGAAGTTTCGGTAGCAGTGGATTTTTTTAATTCTTACAGGGTGGGGTTGCTAGCCTTACGCCCAACCTTCCCTCTCTACCGGCCTAGTCACCGGCTAAGCGAGGTTTAGGTGTGCATCGTTAGAGGAACGATCCCCAGACCACATGAGGCGTGTTTGGCGAGCTTTCTACCGCTGAACAACCAAGGCACAAGATAAATCCTGTATAAAGAGGAAATATTTTGGAATTAAATTCGCTGAACACTTCCGTAATATATTTTCACATATTTCCGGGAATAAGGACTTCATTATTAGTATTATTATTATTATTATTAAGTGAAACTAACCAATCAAAATCAGGTATACACTATAGGGGTTTTTCCGAACTGTCCAATCAAATCACATTCAGATGTATTAACGGTAAATAATGGTTTTCTTTTATAATTTCACACTATTTAGAGAAGTAACAGCCATTTATGTGCAAGGCTGTATTGCTCATTTTCTATAAGCAAACAGTTTCATGGTGCGTCGGTGGTTCATTGGTAGAAATACCCACTAACCAACCACGCAGATAGTCTGAGGTTCTATCCCCAGCCGACGCACACCTCAACCTCACCTAGCTGACAGTAAGCCCGATAAAGAGGGAAGATTTAACGTGGGGCTAGCGACCCCTCCTCTCATAAAAATATCAAACACCACTGCTAACGAAAGTCAAAGCTTGAAGCCCACTATATTCCATTGGGAATGCAAAGCAATGAAAAGCAGTTTCACTAGAAGGTATTTGTTGAAGTTATGTGACGACTACAATTCATATACTTTGTCTATAATTTCATTCTAATATGTCCGCCTAACTGATAACCGCCAACAAAAAGTATGCTAATATTCCGGACCTCTAGGACTCTTCAGCAGTGCGCACTCAAGACATCCATACTAGCTTAAAAACCAGTGTTTGGTGGTGGCACTATATCACAAATCCACGGAAGTTGGAATTCAAGGATTCACGGATCTAAACATAGTGGTTAAATGGTCAGCTAGCTTGCTTCAAAACTGAAAGAAAGAACCTGGGTTCGATGGCCCATAAGATCAATGGTACGCACTGGCTAGTGCTGGCGCTAGATAGTGAATTGGCAGAAGTCAAGATTCATGGGCTGGCTATTGGATAGGATCCCAGTAACTGAATGTTCTACCAGCTCGCCCTGTAACACTGGTGGTGGGTAAATGACTCGGAAGAGTCCCAAACTAAGAGGAAACAGCTGTCCAGTATTCCACTGCTCGTTTTCCAATGGTTCTTTGACTGATGTCAACTAGTGACCAAACCTGTAGGCAATCAAATCCCTGTAGACCAAAAAGTGAATATACCAATATGATGTATTGTAACCGAGTGAGATATTTATTTAAACTCTGATTACCCTGTTCATTTCACCTTTAGTATTACGTAACCTTTAAGATTTCATTTAATTATTTATCTATTGAGTTGTCTACATATACACATACACATTACTACCTTCGTTATTATTCTTATCGCCCTCTGCATAAAACTTATTATCATTATAATCATTGTTAATACTGACGTTAAAAACACTTACCACATTATTATTATTTGATCCACAAAATCACCGTTATTGGTAAAGTTTTGTTTTATATATAAAGTTATGTAAATCAGAGTAAAGCCTGAAGAAGATCTAACTGAAAACGACAATATTGTTCGCTTATATGTCTTGTTCTAATATTAACAGTGGGAATATTCAAAGACGATGTTACACCAGTTAACTAAGAACAACCCCGCTACTACACCGATCCCTAGATTAGAAATAGGAAAAGAAGTGGTAGAGCACGTTGACCGCTTCACTTATTTAGGAAGTTGCATAAGCCTCAATGGGTTGATCGCTGATGAAATCTCAACAGGAATACAGAGGGCTCGCTTCGCATATGCCAGTTTACGCCGTCACTGGCGTAGACGTGATATCCGGCTGGCTTTCGACCAAAGGGCGGGAATGCTGCCCAGTAGTCCGCTCCGTCATCCTTTATGGCTGTGAGACATGGCCATTGAGAGTGAAAGACATGAAAAGATTAGCTGTCTTCGATCATAGGTGCCTGCGGTCTATCTCCCGTGTGTAGTGGTATAATAAGGTGAACAATATTGAGGTTAGGCGTCGATGGCCATGTAAGGAGGGGAAATCAATCGACAAGGTTGCGAAGTTACACCGATTGAGATGGTTAGGACATGTATTACGTATGCCCAGCCATCGCCTTCCTCGACAATGAGCAATGTAAGCTGATATAGGGTCAGGCTGGAAAACAGCTAGCGGCGGTCAAACGAAAACATGGCTTCATCAGTCAATGAAATCCACAACAGTTAGTTCAAGCCAGTGACGTAGGAAGGTGTAGACTTCCTGGTTGGGGTCCTCGGGACGGTAAAAAACCAATGGTTGGAAACAATTGGTGAAATGGCTCAAAATCGTTGTCAATGGCTGATGCAGATGCATCCACTCCTTGTGACTTATGATTTCCAATTAAACTTTTGTTCTCCGTCATTACTATTCCTTTGTCTCACACCTCTGTTTACTGTCTATATTATGCATTTCTCCTACTTTCTTCTCTTGCTTTGTGTGCTACATGGAGTGTGGCGACTTGAACTGCTGCACATTGGTGCGAAGTTGTATGTCGAAAACAAACAAAAACTCCACTGAACGTTCTAGTAAGTGAGGTTAGGTGTCGAATTTCTTAGTCAAAAACGAGGAAGGTCCACCACCTCTGTATACCACACTATATTACAGCACACTCACTGGAGATGGAATATGTCAGTCCCATAGACAGAAATCTACTTTTCCAATTATCAATCAGTGCATGGAGAATTACCATCATCACAGAGGGTATTGGCTTGAAAGTACTCAATTCTCAACCAACTGGCTCTGGGTTCGAATCCAGCTTCACTTTAGCCTATGTAACTAGGTATTAGTAGTAGTAATAGTATCATCCGCCCTAACTAACCTCATACATAAGAAATCTGTTCCGAGGAAAGGAGATATAACAACAGCAACAACAATGATTATATAAATTATTTAAATTAATCCCAGCGTGTTTAAGAAAAAATCAAAACAAGATCTGTTTTCTGAACGTTTCGCTGTGTAAGCCACAGCTTCTTCAGCAGAAATGGTTATCCGGAAAAGCTACTAGATAGTATCGACGATAGCCATTCCATATCGAAAGGACACAGCTGAACAACTTCAAAGACTATTTGCTTCATATAATATTAAAGTCTATTTCAAGCCCTCTAATTCTCTAGAGAAAGCTTTGATGAATGTCAAAGATATAGTTCCCAAAATGTCACAAAGTAATTGTGTCTACAAGATAAAGTGTTCAGAATGTGAAGCTTGCTATATAGGGGAGAGCAGTAGACAGGTGAAGGTCAGAGTGAATGAACACAGACTATGCACGAAACGTCCACCTAGAAATGAAGTAGAATTAAAAAGTCTAGAAAAAAGATCAGCTATAGCAATGCATGCGATAGACAGCGGACATAAGATTGATTTCGACAATGTCGAAATTCTTGGAAGAGGATTTCATTCACATAAAGAAAGGTTGACCTCTGAAGCCTTGCACATTTTAACCACATCGAATGCAGTGAATAGGAAAGAAGGGATAGACTTATCACCTATATGGCAAACTCTAATGAAGCAAGACAGATGAAAAAACAACAAAAACCTCTATGAACCTCCATGACCTTTAAAAAATGTATTATCATGTTTATCACATGTGACGTGTTTTCCATATGACAAATAACATACACTCACACACACTCATACAGAAAAATGTACACAATAACAATTTGACATTAGTCATTACAAATATATGATGACTTGCTTACATATTTCTACTGGTACAAATGTCTACAGACAAGTGACCTTCAAAGGAACTGACTTCAGTTTATGTCATTTCTTCTGACCATATATTTTGGTGATTAATAAAATCCTAATAATTCTGCTGAAGAAGCTGTGGCTTACACAGCGAAACGTTCAGAAAACAGATCTTGTTTTGACTTTTTCTTAAACACGCTGAGATTAATTAAAATAATAATTTATAATGAATCAATCTGACTCAGTGCTCAAATTATTCCAGGAAGTTCGTAAAAATCTACGGTCTGGAAACTTATAACAGTAATAACAGTCATGATAAAATGGCAATTACCGATGTTTCCTGTCCATAAGAATAAGGATTCATTGTATCCGATGAATTGGCTGTCTGATTGGCTTGTACAAAACCGGAACTTTGAGTTCGTTGATGACTACCGACACCAGAAGCAGCAGCAGCAACAGCAGCGGCATCCCATTTTATAGGCATTTCATTTGACTGACTGTTGAAGTGATTATTAGAAAACTCAACTGGCCAATTTAACTAAGGAAAATAAAAGAGTTAGAAAATAAAAAGCACACCTTGAATCTTCTACAATAAGAGTATAACCTAACTGAATTGAAAATCCTATACAGGTCAAGTTAAACATTGATGATTTAGGTGTGCGAATATATCAGCAATCTTGAACGCTGCTACGGTATGTTGAGTCACACGACGTACAATTTTTAGAGGGAGTATGAATATTGTTCATAAAATTCAGACATAGATTTCATTCGGATTGTGCTTTCCAGTATTGAATGGATAATGGTTTGATAGAATAGACACTTGAATGTTATTGTGGAAGTTATACATACATATGGAACGGTGCTCAGAGGCTAGTGAGCAGCAGAAGTAGAGGAATTAGTGTTCGAGACGGTATGCGCATGTCAAATATCCAGATCGCAAAGATGCTGGACCTATCACTGGTTTCAGAAGACTAAGTCTAATACGCAGAATAACAGAAAACCGTTGTTTATTCTTCCACCGATAACGAAACGGATTTACAATTATTACCAGGTGCAAAGTTTGTATTATTTTTTTTAATTCCTTTACGTTCCCGGTGGAACATACGGCTTCAAGCTAGAGCTTCGAAGTTTCAGTAACAGTGGCTTTTTAATTTTACGAGGTGGGGTTGCTAGCCTCACGTCCAACCTTTCCTCTTTACCGGCCTTAATACCAACTTAGCGAGGTTTCGAAGTGTGTCCATCGGCCGGGGATCGAACTCCGGATGACTTGCGCGGTTGGTGAGTGTTCTACTGCTGAATCACCGATGCAGTAAGTTCGGTGATCGGACAAGAACCGATGTTTTCAACTTGGTATGGTCACCAACTCTTTCACTTATATATCTATGCCTAACTTCTGAATTGCTAACATAGTGGATCCCAGGGAATTGTAGTCGAACCTCTAAGAAGGTATTAATTTCTATTATAACATTAGAAAACCTCCCTTCTGATGAACACAGAACAAGCATGAAACGTAGTACATTCTACTGACTTGTTTCAACCATTTTGTAAACTTAAAAATCCTTAACAGATATCTATATCTAGTTTGCGACTCTTCATCAGTACGCACCAACGCCGCGTGGGCAGAAATTAGAATTCAAGGACCATTGGATCGGGTCCCAGTGGCTAAATGGTCTACGAAGGTCCTGGGTCCGAACCTCGCGTCGTGGGTGCGTACTGTTGAAGAGTCTCAAACTAGGCTGACGAAACAGCTGTCCAGTACTCCCTGACTGGTTTTCCAATGGTTCTCTAACTGATGTCAGCTCATGATGAAATCCTCCATGCAATCAAACAAAAATCACTACAAAACCAATACTTGAAGATCTACTATATCTCTCGTGTTAAGTGATATACTATCCTCATCAGTAATATTGAAGATGGCAGTGACATTGTGTAATAATCGTGGATCAATAGATAAAGTGGTAAATCTGAATCGTTTTGAGATGACTTGAAGAGGTGTTACACATATCAAGACATCGCAATCCTCAACGAGCGATGTAAGCTGAAACAAGTTGGAAAAGAGTTAGGTATGGTCAAAACCAAAACAGAGCATCAATCCATGAAATCGTGGACTGTTGGTTTGAGCCGACTAGAGAGGTGCAGACTGTCTCAGTGGGATCCAATAGTAACTTAATAATCAATGGCTGCTAACTGTTGGTTACACGGCTCAAAATAGCTTTCAATACCGTACACACATTCACTCTTAGTGAGGACAAATACTCGCCAGCGTTGACATTGGCTGATGCCAGTTGCGCTAAAATAACGAATTAGTAAAAGTTAAAATTCATGTGTTGTGGCCATTGAGGAGTCGGGTGTCATTGGTTGAATGGTTTACAAAATCGCCTTGTAACCTAAAGGTTATAAATCCGAAGCCGTGTGAGTGTGTAATGCAGATGAGTCCCAAAAACCAGGCTGACGAAACAGCTGGTCGTCCAGTATTCCAGTGTTGGTTTTCAATGATTCTTTCTAAATGATATCTATCCATGATCCAAATCTCTACAAAAGAACTCTTGAAAATTAAAATTCGCTCATGACACAAATAGCATCAGTTAGACGATCATTGGAAACCAGCGCTGAAGTACTGGAAAGCTGCTCCACTCTAGTTTGAGAATCATCGCCAGTACGCACCCAACCCATTGGGGTTCGAACCCATGACCTTCCGGTTACAAGACAAGCTGGCTCGTATACCTTTCAACCATTGGGACCCGATTCAGTGACCAGCCCATGAATTCTAACGTCTACCAATTCGTGATTTTTAGCGCGATGACCAACCAATGTCATTGGCGGGAACTCCATCTCCACTCCCGATTGGATGCACCTCACTGGATCGAACCCCAGTGGGTGAGCATACTGCCGATGATACCCAAACTAGAGTGAAGCAGGTCTCCTGTACTCCAAGACTGATTTTCAATGATTCTCTAGCTGATATCAATCCGTGATCAAATTCGAAAAACAAATCAAGTCCTTATAAACCAACTCTTGAAAATTAATCTGATGCTCACTAGTGACTTGCTACAGGATAGACTTTCCTGGAGTTCTATAGAGAAGTCGTAACGAGTGAGGTCCATCCACTGAAGTGTAGGGATGGATTTCTGGCTGATAACACTAGGTGGTGGCCATGCTAAATCACGAATTGGTAGAAGTTAGAATTCATGGACTGGTCATTGAATCGGGTCCCAGTGGCTAAATGGTATACGAGCCAGCTTGCCTTGTAACCGGAATGTCCTGGGTTCGAACCCCAATGGGTGAGCATACTGCCGATGATTCTCAAACTAGAGTGAAGCAGCTTTCCAGTACGTCAGCGCTGGTTTTCAGTGGTTCTCTAAATGATATCAATCCGTGGCCAAATTCAAAAAACAATTCAAATCCTTATAAATCAAACCTTGAAAACACAAATAGTATAGTCATACCAGAAATCATAAAATTGAAGGGAGGAAACAAATGAGAGGAGAAACTCCAATAGAACTTACATTCGTTGATGGTGGACTAAAAGCCTCATGAAATCTTGCATTCGTACTAGTAGGATTCATTGCACTGGAATCTGGTAAGTCAGTAAAATTAGCTACCACAGCAGTAGATGAAGTATGATTATTATTATTACTAACAGGTAAACAAGTTGGCGGTTTAACAATAATCGGGTGGTTGACAGTAGGCGGTGATACTGGAGCATGAGGGAAAGAAGAAGGAGGAGGTGGCGGCGGCGGCTGTGGTGGTGGAGGCAGAGGATGATGACTAGAGCAATTCGGTCGAGGTCTTTCTCTTGGAGCTACTGATGTATTAGTAATATATTGATTCGTTTGTTGTTGCTGATATCGATGGCTATGATCTACAACAGATGCAGTTGACTGTTTCTGATCAGGTGAGGATTTATTTCGACTACTGGATGATGATGCCGATGATGATGGTGACAATGACCTATAAAAATCAATATAAGTTAAACAGTAATCAATAACTTTGAATACTAAGCCAAGTTAAACTTTAAGCACCACTAACTGCCAATGGAGTGCGGCCGCACCACTGACCTTGAATGGTTCATTCAATGTGTTTTATTTACGAGAGCTGAAGCGTTTGTTCCCCTTGTTTCGAGTCAAATGCCTGCTCTAACACAGTTGCGTTTGCAGTTTGGTGGGGATCAAGTCTCCCAGTATTGCTTAGAAGTGGAGTTGATTAGGAAAGAAAGGATTTGTTAATGTAGAGGTATGATGTCTACAAAAAGCTTCAACAAGTTTTTTTAATGAACATATACATCGTTGTGCAATTTATTTGAGACGAGTTAGTGTCAGGGAAGGTAAGCTGACGGTTCTAATATTCTGTAGGAACATTTTTTGCCAGATCCCATATTTCTTTAACCCAGATGAGTGAAGAGGTTAAAACTCGTTGTCATCCCTCGGATATACTCACCACAGAGTACAAGGACCCACACCAATTCTATCGAAGGATATTGGGGAAGGTTAAAAAACAAGATTAGAGCCATTAATGGATCGTAAAGCGATGTTATTTATAGCTACTTAGATGAATATATGTATAGGATGTGGTGTAACTTTTCTATTGATACTCCTATGCTAAACTGGGAGATGTTCTTATCGATATGTGAGAGAAAGGTATCCTCTGTAACACTTTTAAACAATTTTTATGCATTCTTTTCAAAAATACATGCATTGCCTACCCACAAATAGTCTCCTTCACGTGATTGGTGCGTTCAAGGTCATTCGCTGATTGGTGGTAGTTAGTGGTGCTTAAAGTTTAACTTTGCCGAATACTACAACAGATTAGAAAATAATAATGACCAAAAAATTTAAAATCTCAACATGTTTTTTTAGTCATTCCTTCGGTTTCGAGTGGAACACATAGGGGCGTGGAGCTTTCAAGTTTCAGTAGTGATGATTTTGTGTTTTTTTTCTTTTCGCAGAGCGAGATTGCTAATCTTAGACACACAACCTCCCAAACTTACTATTGGCTGGTTAACAAGGATAGGTTTAGGAGTGTGTCCGCTAGGAGTGGAAACCGAACCAACTGAGTGGTCGGCGAACATTCCTACCACTGAGTCCCTGACGAACAGTCACAGGTGAGCTACTCTAACAATGGAAAAGAGCTTCAACGGCACGTCTCCACTTTGTCTGATTCTCTGCGGTCCTCTCTGGCTGGCCTTACGATTCCCCCATAGTCTCTAATCCCTTCTTAGCAGGACCTCCTCCATATTACTCTGTGGACCAACGCCAAACTTGTCGTTTCACATTCGAGTTACACTCGAGCAATAACCTAAAGCACGATGCCGTTCAACGGTCTCCCATAATTTCTTATTGCTAATTCTTACTGGTCGGGGCCAGCCATTTGGTCCTCAATACGGAACCAGAGAAGGCGGCAGCTGATAAAAGTCTGCAGTAGCCTGTTCGAAATGCCTTCCGTGACGCCCACACCGAGTTTATGACCGATATTAACATTGGTGTTGAAAATCCGAATCTTATACTTTATGTTGAGTTATCAAAGAAGATTTCCAAACTGGCTTCAGGTTGATGAAGTTGTATTTTGACTTTCCGATTCTGACTGGCTTTGACAACTTCATTCGTGCCGACTGCCTGTATGACAATAGACAGAGCAGATAGCTCACCTTAAAAGTGCCTGAAACTAAACATTAATCAATAATTTCTAACAGTATCTCTAACACAACCTTAACCTTAATGTGTGGTTTGCTGACGAGTGCCAACTAGCACGAAACCTAGGTGGTGTCCAAGGCTTCCTGTGGCCGATTGCCTCCAACCATCGAATATCAACTATTCAAAGTGCACCGTAATGGAGACCCATCTAGAAGGGTAACCACATTGCCAAAGTGACTGACAGAATTCAGTCTGCACCGATCAAAGGACTAAAACATATTACACTAGTTACTAACTAGTGTCCAATCAAAAATATCCAATACAATCCTACAGGAGGTCAATCGTAAGCCCAAATAGCTCAGTGGTAACGTCTCTGACTCACTGCAGCACTGGGTGACGAGAGTTCAAATTTCAGAAGGGACGTGGGTTCCTTCAAGGCGGTTGTAGATACGTCTTGTTGACTGGGGAGTGCCAACTAGCACGAAACCCAAGTCAGACTGGGCTTCCTGTCGATCGCCTCCAACCATCTAATATAGCCTTAACCAAACTCTAACCAAACGCTAGTATAGGAGAGAAATTAGGATCTATTCCTACAGAATGTTAAGTAAAATTTTTCAACTATTCTTGCATAAACATGTTTTTACTTTTACTTTTTTCAAAGGAAACTGCATAAATTGCAAATTGCCAATTTGATTTACGCCATTGACCAGTTCACCTAAGTAGCTAGACAGAATTTGAGTGTGGTTTTTGAACAGATTCAGCTCTCTGAGCTGAGTTGTGAAACCGGGTGCGCACCGCTGATGAGTTCGACCCCAAACGAACCAAATTAGCCACCCAGCGTTTACATCACTTCGATCTGGTTACCACACTAAGCACTATTGATTGATGTTAGTGGTTATACAACTACTACTCATCTCAATCAATCAGTAGTATATAGTGTCATGAATTTATTTTTGCTTTTTTGATTACCATTCATGGTATCAACCAGATCTGAATAGTTTCGATTTCCAAGTGGAAACGCTCTGGTGAAACTACACACACACCCGGAACTGTCTAAGTTGTAAACTGCTAATTTCATTTACACAACATGACTAGAAATATTAGGTGATTATACAGTTATCAAGAACTGGCGTCGAATAATGCTCTTGTCCACACCAAGTAAAGTACTAAGTTGAATCATCCTAGAGAGAATAAAGGATGTACTGGATGGAGAACTCTGCTAGCCCAAAACAAGCTGGATTCAGGAAAGGCAAGTCATGTACTGATCAAATTGCAACTCTACGCATCATCATCATCACAGAACAAAGCATAGAATGGCAGTCAAACCTCTCTTCACCTCAACTTCATCGACTTCGAAAAGGCCTTCGACAGTCAGCTTTGACTGGGAGGTAATTTGGAAACTACTTCAAAACTATGACGTTCAGTACCCAAGTCTTTATCAACCTCATTTAACAGCTGGTTATATGACAATGTTTGCGATGTGTCAGGCGATCCACAACGGAAAACTCAGCGAGGCGTCCGAAGTGAATACAGAAGTAAGACAAGGCTGACTGCCTATTATCACCGATGATATTCTTAATTGTGGCGGACTGGATTATGCGTCAGACTGTGTATGGGAGTGAAAGGACAGGAATACGTTGGATTGACCGATAAGAAATCTCTAGAAGACCTGGATTTCGCAGATGATATATGTCTAATGTCATACAAATTCCAAGACTTATAGGTGAAAGCAACAAACTGGCACAAGAGGCAAGCAGCGAAGACAGGACTGCAGGTGAACATAGAGAAGAAGATGGAGGTCATGAAGATAACCAACCACGACCAACAGCAATAACAACCAGCATCAATCACCATCGACGGGAGAGATTTAACAGAGGTTACTTCCTTCACTTATCTATCTAGGCAGCCAGCATCGTTTCAACTACAGGCGGAACGGATGAAGATGTCAAAGCCAGTCAGAATTGGAAACCAGTTTGGAAATCTTCTGCTTCACTCAGCCAGCATAAAGAACAAGATTCTCGGGTTTTCAACACTAATGTGAAATCAGTCAGTCAGTCAATTCTTCTATACGGGTCAAAAACTTGCAGTGTGTGTGTCACGAAAAGGATTTCCAACTGGGACCAGACTGAATAGCCGCCAGCCCATGAATTCCAACGTTTGCCAATTCCTGATAAAATATACATAGCGTAGACTCCGCCAGTTACAACTTCTCACTAGAATAATCATATAGTTATTTCATCACATGACCAATATGTCAATTGTTTAAGATTTTTTTAAACTATCTGTTTAACTGGATAGCATGCAGCAATAAAAATCCAATGACATGACCCTTAATCCAACCTACATTAAAGTCAAATGTCTGTCTGGCGTATAAATCACGTTTCTGTTCGAAAATTTAAGCGTATCAAAATGCTGTTTCTTATTTATTTGATGATAAACATAGAGAAAGAACCATGTGATATATATCCATATTTATGATACCATTACATGCAGATAGATCAATAAATCAATAGTGACCCCAATGAAACAATCAACAATAGCCTAATTATAATGATTGACTAGACAACAAAGTTCAACGGATTACAAACAGACACACGGACACACACACAAAGAAGAGAGAATATGAAAAAAATTGAAAAAGCAGAACGACGTAAAAACAAAAAGTGATTAGAAAAAATGAAAAAAAAGAATTAATTAAGTTTAACTGAGTATCAGTAATAGTTAAATAATTAATTGATCACTAACATTAACAATGTGACCTTTCCTTAATGTATAGTCGAATTCACTGACCCAATGTACATACACACTAATGTATTAGACTATGAAAAATACTCAACTAATTGACTATTAATGCCTGAGAATTATGCTGCTATACAAAGAAGACAATAAACACATTATTATGATTATTTCCTTTAGTTCCTAGAGGAACATAGGGCTTCAGTCGCACTTCTCCATTGCGTTCGGTTCCCTGCCAACGTCGGCTCACATGCTTTCATCTCCTTTTCACATGACCTCCTCGTCCATTTCACACTTGCACTGACGACCAACTCACCACTTCCCATTTCTCAGAGTATGACCAATCCACCTCCACTTCTTCCTGCTTATTTGTTGCACAATTGGTTCCTGCTGGGTTGGTTCGTTCATTGCCAGAGATCCCTGTTGCTGATCTTTTCTGGCGGGCCATCTGATCCTGAGTAGTATTGAGCTGAGACAGTTGCTGATGAAAATCTGTAGTTAGTTCGAAGTGCCATTTGTGACGTGGTGTCAAGTCTTTGATCAGTAGAGTAGCACTGACTTCACATTGGAGTTGAAAATCTGGAT